AATTCTGGGAGTTGAAGTCCACATATCTTAAAGTTGCTAAGGTTGAGAAACACTGCCTTAAAGAGTACTCAGAAACTACAGTTGGTCCAAAACACAGCAGCCCACATAATTCCTGGTTCCTGGCACTGGGAGCCTGTAACACAGCTTTGCGGGCCCTGCATTGGTTACTGGTTGATTTCCAGGTCCAATTTAAGGTACTAGTTTTCACCTATAAAGCCCGTAGGATCACCTTCTCCAGCCAGGACCAGCCCAACCAATCAGATCTACTAGGAAGAAACTACTAGGAAGCAGCTGACATTGTAGAATAGCCTCCCTCTGGAAATTAGATTGACCCCCTCTTTGTCCATTTTTCAAAAACTGCTGAAAATCAAATTGTTTTGGAGAGCCTTTCCCTGATTTGGTGTGGCTTTCATTTTCATATTCTACTTTTATTATTGTGGTTTTTCTTATGTCACTTAGTGTCATTGTTTTTTAAGCCTGTCAGGTTTGTGGATTGTACCATGGATATTTAAACTGTGCTATTTATTCTGTGTAAGTCACCAAGAGTGTTGTTGTTTTTTAAATTGTGGTGGTGGGACAGAAATCTGTTTAATAAATGCAATAAATAAATATTCATTTATTAGATAACATAACCCACATTTTTGTACAGGAGCTTAAGGTGAAATATATAGCACTCTTTCCTCTTATTTCCCCCCCAACAACTCTGTGAGAAAGACAGACTAGCCCCAAGCCCTCCTGGGTGCTTCTATGATCGAAGGTGGGCTAGAATCTGATCTTCCCACTGCTAGTCCAGCATCTTAACTCTACACTCCATTTGTTTCCTCAAAAACGAAGAAAAAGAAACAATTTATGAAGTATAGAAGCATTTTTTAAAAAGTACAAGACCTGAAACATGAAAACAGATCAATTTAAGAGAGAATATAGATCGCTACCTGTAGGGTCCCATATTTCAAAGAACTGCACGGCACCTTGGATGGTCACAACCACGTGGTCCACCAAACTGTCAATCCAGAACTGGTGGCTTACCAACTGGGGAGCTTGCTTCTTTGTCCTCCGTTGAGTCCCTTTAGATCTCAAGATGTTTCCTTTGTGGTAGCGAAAAAGAGTCACCTAGAAAAATAGGATACTTTCCATCAGTCAAGATGGGAAAAACCAACCTACTTTCCTTCCTTCCTTCCTTCCTTCCTTCCTTCCTTCCTTCCTTCCTTCCTTCCTTCC